AATCGTTGGAGCTATGGAGGATATGCCAGTTGTCCTTGATGATTTTGCTGATGTACGGTATACCGAAGTGGGATTGTAATCCGTAATAAAGACTGGACGTTTGTTGTTCTCAGGGGTTATTTTGGATTGCAGGAGAGTGTTCCTATTAATTTTATAGGCTTTGGATCGGTTCGATTGGATTATATCGCTGGGGTAACCCTGCTGGAGATAGTAATGTTTCAGTTTATCTGCATGTTTGGAGTAATCTGTATGGTGTGAACAGATACATTTGAGTCTCAGAAATTGGCGGTAGGGTCCCTTATGTTTTATATGCAGGGGGTGTTGTGTGGTGTAGGAAGGGTAACGTTTGTCTGCATGTTTGATGTAATCTGTATGGTGTGAGTCTATGAAATTAGCTGTAGGATCCCTTACTTTTATATGCATGGGGGTAGCATGAGGTGTAGGAAATGTAAGAATGTGTGTCTGTCGGTTTGCAGAAAAGGTCAAATGAACATTTTTTCAAGTGGGAGTTGAAACTTACCATAATGTCTAGAAACTGCACTTTATCAGTTAAGTATTCAGCTGAGAACTTTATGGTTTTATGAAAAGTGTTCATCAGTTGGAGGAGAACTAATAGTTTGGAGTTTCCATGTGTCCAGATAAGGAAAATGTCATCTATAAACCTGACAAAGACTAAAGGTTTAAGGGGTACTTTGTCCACTCGACACAAACTAGGTCATTTCGGAACTAACACGTTCAATTTTATTTCAATAATTCGCTTGCACGTAGGGGTTTTTAGCAGTCGGAGGAAACCGGAGAAAGCCCACGAGGTTGGACAGGCGACCCAACTCCTTGTTACGTACAACCGGGGAGTCGAAACCACGCCAGTTGACTCAATGACAGACTCTATGATACAGCACGCACGTGCTAACCATTCGGCCATCCAACTACCACTGTTAAAAACAAAGTTGTTTTTTGTTAGTACAAGTTTTAGGAGTGCGATTAGGTATGTTAGGTGGATTCTCCAATTGGGTTTATATGTGAGTATACTTTTGGCTACTGCTTGTAAGCCTTTGTTCGTGGGGATGTTGGTATAGGGGGAGGTAACATCCATTGTAAAAAGAATGACATCGGTTTCTTGGGTGAGGTCAATGGATTCTAATCTTTGAATAAAGTGGGTAGTGTCTCTAGTAAAGCTGGGGTATCGAGGGACAAAATATTTGATGTGTTCGTCTATGAAACTACTAATGAATTTCATGGGGGTTCCATTCTCACTAATGATGGGTCTGCCCAGGACTTTACTGGAGTTTTGAGGAGTTTTTCTGTGGTATGTCCCGATTGATAGATTTTGGTTACGAAAACATTTGATTTTGGTGTTGAATTCTGAGGTAGGGTCTTCATCCAGAGGCAGATAAAAGGTAGTGTTAGATACATGTAGTTGTCTTTCGACTTCAAGGATATAATCAGATTTGTTGAGGATTACAACAGCTGAGCCCATGTCGGCTTTCTTAATGATAATATTCAGGTTCATTTTTAATTGGACAATGGCCTCTCTTTCTAATTTGGGGAGGTTGTTTCTTTTGAATTTGATGGTCTCTGTGTTGAGCAATTGGTGTGTTATAACTCTAAAGAAGATCTGTAAGTTAAGGTTTGCTCCTGGAATGGGTGTCCAGGTGCTCTGTGGTGCGAATTTTTGGTCAAATTTCAAGTGGAAACTTTGTGGGGGTATGGGTGCTTTCAGGAAGTGATAGGTGATTCTCAGTTTACGGATGAGGCTTCTAAGGTCTAATAGTATTTTACTAAGGTCTATCCCAATGGATGTAGGGCAGAAGCTGAGTCCTTTGCTGAGGATGGAGTATTGTGGTGTATTTTAAAAACTCCATCTTAGAGAAATTTACAACGAATGACTTGGTTTTTAGAAGTTTTATTCGCAGAATCATTACTATTTTGATTAAAATTTAAATTTTTAACAAGTTTAGGACCATATGGTGGATTTTAGATTGGTTGTTGGTGGTGTTTGGAATTCGTTTTCTAGAAATTGAGTCAATTTAGTCTGAAGAGTTCAATATGAATGAAACTAGTTACTACAAATTGGGATAACTAGACGAATCGCCCATCTTTATCACCATACAATAAGACCTTGACTGAATTAGCAGGTGGCCTTAATATTTAGTTATAAGCCAAATTATTTGTATGGGGACTTTCTTTAAGCCAGGTTGATTTTGGCAAAAAAAGGTGTTGTGTGAACTAATTTGCATACCGGCTTGATTTCATGTTCTATATAAAATGTTACGATGCAAAAGGCAAATGTTGATGGAGCAAATAAATTGTGGGAGTGTCAAATAAGAAGATGTCAGAGTTTAAAGTTCTGGGTCACTTACATTAGGCGTGTTGTTGAAATTTTAAAAAGTCTTAAGTGAAATGTTACAAGACAAAAGGTAGATATCAAAAGTGCAATGTGAAAATGAAAATATTAAATAAATTAAAGGGTCAATCCCGATAATATTTTGGAGCATAAAACTGGTTAATTTTGTGTTAAAATCCCTTAAAATCCTCTACCTTAGGGCCCAGCAACTAACTCAATATATTTGATCGTTTTCAAACAACTTAAACCCGTCAGTCTTAATCTGGAAGTGGGGACAGGTGCCCCAAGCTGTATTATTCCTCTATATTTTGACGCTTAAGTTTCATACGTACTCAGGCTTTATTTTTGAGACTCTGTTTAATTCGGGATAGTCCCTTTAAGTTTTATTGAATTGGTTATAAATAACAAAAGGAATTATATGTAGAACAAAAATCTGTCAAAAGTCAAGATGTCGATTTACACGATGTCGTGATGTAATAGAGCTAATTCTTTTTGCACAGAACAAAAAACTTTGTAGGCTATTTGTCAGTATTGCAAGATTTTTTACATTCATTATTTGCAACACTGGAGATGTAAAAGCACTAACAACTTAGCACTGACTTTTGACTGAAATCCCTTGTCATATTTATTAAGTTAGTGAATCCTTTAAATGAGTTCAATGATTAGCATTTTGCACAAAGACTAAGCAGAGATAAACAATTTGATTGAGATAATATAACTTGATAATAACCGAGGGAAAGTGATGAAACTTGGTGTAGGCTACTGGTAAATATAAACATGTAGTTTTGACTGCTTCAGCTTGATGATTTACAAAAAAATAAATTGGCAATAAAATCAATATATGTTGTTTATTCATTTTGGTGTAGAGGAGGAAGACATCACCTGCACTGTTTACTTATTATTTTTGCAATAATCAGTGTTGTTTAACTTTCTCTTTTTGTTTCTAAAAAAGAAATATACTTTGAATAGCCTATTTGAAAATGGATGAGACCAAGAATTTTCCTGAGACTTCTTAGCTGGAGGATATACAAGGTTTTGAGATCTTCAAAAATCAGTAACAATTATTTAAAGTGTGACTCCTTAAAACCATGACATAAAAATCCATTGGCAGTTAGAATTTGATATAAATGAAATGAAATGAAATGAAATGAGGTTAAACGTCCTACTGTTCTGCTTTGAACCGGGTAATGAAGGCGACCATACGCCATATACAGTGTGCTATGAGGGGAAACTTTGCCCGGACAGCGGCACTACGGCCTACTCCTATATCAAATTCCAACTGTCAAGGGATCTTTTATGTGCACACCAATGTGTACACAGGACCTCGTTTTTTTTGTCCCATCCGAACGACTAGACAGCAGTCCTTGTCAGGCCCTCTGTTCTGCATCACTGACATGGGAGGAGCCACACCGGAAAATCTGGATGAACTTTCTCGGCCAAGGCAGGGATTAAACACCTGCCCACCGGGCTAGCGTGCCAGCGTCTTACCCACTTAGCCACCGTGATCCCCTATAATTCGATATATGAGGAGGCTGTAGCATATGAATGGCTTCATTAGATATTATTAGTGTAGTCCAGTTGGAGCAGAACAGTGTAGGACGTTAAACCCCATGATTTAATATTTTTCCATGAAAATTAAGACACGTAATGCCTATAAATTATGATGAAAAATTAAGGTCTACTCCATTCTAATTCAGTAATTGCTACCCACTTTAATTATACTGGAAATATAATAATAAAGAGAATCTGGTTAAATGGGAAAACGATGAATCTCAAAAGGAATCTCAACATCAGATCGCCAAAGATTAAAGAGAGAGCATATATGACCCTTGTGAGGCCCTCAGTTGAGTATGCCAGCGCAGCTTGGGATCCCCACCTACAGAATGACATCAAAAGAATCGATATGGTCCAACGTCGAGCCGCAAGATATGTTGTCAACAACTACACACAAACAGCTAGTGTAACAGACATAAGATCCACAACAACCTCATTAATATCACAACAGACAAGCTAATCCCACCAAATAGGACAACTAGACACATGCACCCTCAAACTTTCCAAATTCCATCTACCAGGAATGACACCAAGAAATTCTCCTTCTTCCCTAGAACAATAAGAGACTGGAATGCTTTACCACCAGGGTATCGAGATCTTCAAGTCCCAGTCCAGGGTGTCTGGGGCTCTGTGAGCATCGACACCACGTCATATTTTATCCTGTTTTTAACTTTTCACCCCGTTCTTAACTTTTCATCGTCATGCTGGCCATGCGCAACCCACGCCGTGTCAAAATGATCAACTATGATTGTGGACATTACCTGGTAGAAGTAGAAATAAACTTAGTTTTGAAAAATGAAAGTAGACTATCTACTGACACTTGTAACCATGTGCTTAAATTGTTTTTAACATAAAATACTATGCATTATATACGACTCTTTTATAAAATGAAATTGCTTTGGGTCGAATACTAAACATTTATCTAGATTTTACTCAGAGTGTTGATACAGCTGCTAAAAGTTAAAATAAATTCTTCTACCTTCGGTTTGTTCGGCCATCTTTAAACCAATAAAGTATCAAATTCAGAAACTGATTTGGTTGGACAAGAAATTTAGTTTATCCAATGAAAAATCGGTTTACTGAAAACCTTGAACAAAAGGTGCTTCCGGCTAAAGAAAAATCTGAGAAAAACGAGGAGTCGAGATTCTAATACTAGTAATAGAAAGCTAAAAAAAACTCCATTAATCTTCTTGTAAGTATGTTGTCTCCATTTGGTGTCGGTATTTTTATTACAGGTGCAAAAAGGAAAGCTAGTGCAAGTTCTAATGTTGGATAGTACCAAATAACACTGCAAATTTTGGGGATAAATAAAGACAAAGTGATTATAATAAATAGTTCAGTGATACTGATAATGCATTTTTTTTTAAGTCAGATCTAAAATAAACCTTAGAGCCTTAAACAAATACATGGCATCTATATACACAGTCCTCCTTGTTAACGAATAATCCTATATCATATAATTCATTTGTCTCAGTTGATCAGAAATTGGAAATTGTATCATTTTCTTTTTAAAGTAGCTAAGTCTCTTACTCAGTATCATCCAAAGTCTTCAACATTGAAAATACAAATTATTTGTCAATTTAAATAAACATCGATGTTGTGATCTTACCGAGGAAGAGATGGGCCTCTGATATCCAATATTTAAGACAAAATAAAAGTTTTACCATTGGTAAACGAATCATGTACCATAACGTGTTTGCGCCATTTGTAACAAGGGACTAGAAAAACAGGGCTAGACATATTCCACAAGTCATTCAAACGGTGACCCCACATTCTTATCTGGAAAGCATGCGCAATAAATACTATCAGTGTAGACTGGAATAACCAGACACTAAGAGATTGCCAGTCAATTGAGACTTCTCTTCCATATTTCGCTGAATATAACTGATTAGAAATTACAGTAAAAACAGAAACGATTGAATTTAAATCAGTTTATATACATTCATATTACATTATTATATGCATTGCAACCCACTTGTGTCAATTTCTAGGTCCCAATTATTAGCGATTTAGCGCCTTTAAATCAAACGTTGACTTTTACGGTGTTTATTATCACGTGTGCAGGTTTTTGAAAAGGCTCGCTCAACCAGGCATCGTTATCCGTATCTGTTTAACCACAGATCTTTACAATTGAGTCAATTCTCTCTTTCATTGTGTAGACTTAGTTATCCAGAGAAAAGAAATGATACAAATTACAAATACCATCAGCGAGTGGAAATTATTTCCAATTTTTACGTGAATGTTTTTTCAAGTGTTAGAATGATTCTTATGATTGTATATATAGTACTGTAGTGATTTGACAACCTATTAAATAATAGATATAGGAGCTTTTACGGATTTCCCTTTTGACGTTATTTTTGGTCATGCGCAGACCCTGGCCTTATTCGTAGACTGAAACCCATAGGCCAGTGTGTGTTTTTTTGTGAAAATACCGTCGTACAGTAAGCTTCTTTTACATAAAATGGAACTTAACGCCATTTTTATATACGTGTAAGGTTTACCGACCAATGCCAGAAAGCGATATTTACAAAGATACAGCAAGTTTACCAGACCTGTAATTGGCCGTTTGCAATTGAGGAAACAAGTGGATGACTGATCCGTGCTCATGGCCCGAACTAGAATTAAGTCAAGTTTATTACACATTTTACGGTCAAACAGATGTTATATATTAATTACGGGACTATTAACACAAAAGATTTAAATGGTCTATCCTATTTACATACAACTGCCGACTGGACAGTTCTTTGTGAAGTTGATATATCGTCTGCTATAGCACTGCATGCTATCCTACTCGACACAAAACACAGTACTATGTTGGTCTTTGAGGCTGTCGACTTGAAAATAATTCCAGCTAACAATACTATAAATAGTATGCAATATGCAAATACGATTGTTTATGCGTGCTGTTAGCCAATAGCTATTGTAAATTTCCCCGCGTTTGGACGGCTCAAATCAATGATAAAATAATTGTTTGGTGCACGGGGTAAAACTTCAGCCATTTTTATAAATTTTCCTCTTGATGGGATATGAATAACAGAAAGAATAAAACGACGATCAAGTTGAATCTGTGAATATTTTTTAAAACCGTTTTTTTTCTGTTAATTGTAACCACATAAATCGTCTTGGCTCAGCTTTTGGCACACAGTGAAATTTTAATCCAATCAGTTTATCTTGCCGCAACCAAGAAGAAAAACGATACATTTTTGTCCATTTTTATACGCCCACATTTTCATGTGGACGTATATTGTCGTCGCCCCTGTCCGTCCTTCCACAATTGTTTGTGAACAGTCTGCGGGTCACAATTTTTATCCAATTTCACTGAAACTTGAAATATAGGTTTATCACCCTAAGATCTCGGTTCCTTTCGATATTGGCATTTATCGGACTGTAACTTCATGGATTATGGCCCCTGATTGTACGAAAAATCACGTTTTTAGCTTGTCCGTCCGTCCACAATTGTTTGTGAACAGTCTGCGGGTCACAATTTTTATCCGATTTCAATGAAACTTGAAATATAGGTTTATCACCCTAAGATCTCGGTCTTCGATATTGGCATTTATCGGACTGTAACTTCATGGATTATGGCCCCTGATTGTACGAAAAATCACGTTTTTAGCTTGTGATAGGGTGACCCGTGCACTCTACAGAAAGTTGATCTCGACACGGCTAAATGTGCACGCTTCAGTTGCGTGTCTCGAACTGATTTCTGACTACCCCGCACTCTCTTTGAGTCGATGAATAGCCATGGCACGTGCAATTCTCTACAAATATATCAACTATTACAGCCGTAAAAAATCTATTGTTGACGATTTTGAATAGCAGTAAAATTAGCTTCTTAGATATTACAACAACTTTAGAAATTACTGTTTATTGTTTAAATTGCTTTATCGTTAACTGTACCGTTAAGAGCGGCATCTTTTGGTTTAGTACAAATAATATCTCTGAAACACTCGGGTTAGACAGGAACATGATTCTAGCAGTAGTTTCATTTTACTTTTACAAGTTTCTTAAAACAATTGTTGAGTTGTCTAAAGTGCTTATTTCTAAATTCAATTTCTTGTTCTAGCTTTCTGTTATGTTTCGTAAAAAAGTAGTCTTGATTATCCCGACCTGTCAATCAGACATAGAATGGTCAATAGACTGGTTAAGCGAGACTAATTTCAAAACAAGGGCCCCTAACCTATCTTTTACTCAAAAGTGTCTGGATGTTATGGACGACACTTGGAACCAGTTTTCAGTCTATTATTTATAGATGATTAATGGTCATAGCTTATTAAGTACAACATGACTATAATTGTGTGAAACTGATTTGAGGCTTGGCATATATATAAATATTGTGGCGTAATTGTCGAGATATTTGGAGATATTTATTTATGGTGGGTCACCCTACTTGTGAACACTGTAGAGGTCACAATTTTTATACGTCCACATTTTCATGTGGACGTATTATGCCGTCGCCCCTGTCCGTCCGTCCACAATTTGTTTGTGGACACTCTAGAGGTCACAATTCTTATCCGATTTTGACGAAACACGCATATCGGACCATAACTTCCTGAATTATGGCCCCTGATTGTACGAAAAAATCGCGTTTTTAGCTTGTGGACCCTATAGAAGTCATAATTTTTATCGTTCTCAAATAGCTTAAGAATATGGTATATCAAGGTTGTGGACCCTGTAGAGGTCACAATTTTTATCCGATTTTGTTGAAACTTGAAATGTAAGTTTATAACCCAAAGATTTCAGTTCCTTTCGATATTCACGCATATCGGACCATAACTTCCTGAGTTATGGCCCCTGATTGTACAGAAAAATCATATTAATTTACTACTTATCCTGACATAACTATTTGCATATTCCGTTTTTTCTTCTCGGTAATCGTCGGAAGACATCAAAGTAAAACTGAAATACCGCCATGACCTCTGACCCATCTCACTATCACCACTGACCACATCACGTGTCACTACTGTCTTAAACTTCCTCTTCCGTTTTCCGTGCATGACGAGTGCACGTGTTTTTTTTTTTGTGTTTTTTTGTTTTTTTTTTTTTGTAGCTCTCTGAGTTACTTGGTTTGATAATTGTTTACCTTTATTTGACTTTATTATGTCTTCTGCTGATATCCCCATTGCTTACTTGGCTGGGGAAATAAGACGATCTATGTGTACGAGATGCAATTTCTCTAAATCGGCCAAGGACCCACATCCTTTTTGTCCCGATTGTGTTGAGGGTGAAACTTGTTCGCTACTACGAAGATGTGATTGGTTATTTACCTTTAGATGAGAAAGCCTTCAAGGTGTATTTAGATGTTATTCGTAAGAGAGCCACTCAACAGGACAGGCTTGTTAGAAGTTATGTCACCGTTCCCGAGGAGAGCCAGTCTCCTGGTGCCGGCATGTTTAGTGATGCAGAGAGGCAGGTCGGTGATTTCGACAGGATGGAGTCGCCACAAGAGCGTGGTAGAGGCGTATCTGAGAGATCAAGTTCTCAGAAGGACGGCGCATATAGGAAGCCGGGAGTTTCGGCGTTGCCCAGCGCATGTCTGAAACCGAAGTCATTTAAGAAGACCAACGCATCCAAGCAGACTAGCGCACCACAGAAGGTCGGCGCTCCAAAGAAGACCGGCGCTCCAAAGAAGATCGGCGCTTCACAGACGACCAGCGCTTCACAGGCGGCCAGCGCTTCACAGGCGATCGCCGCTTCACAGATGACCAGCGCTTTACATGCGCCCGGCGCGGGCGCTTTACATGCGCCCGGCGCGGGCGCTTTACATGCGCCCAGCGCTTTTCAGACGTCCAGCACTTCACAGACGACCGGCGCTCCACAGACACCCGACATTTCACAGACAGTCGGCGCTTCACAGGCGCCCGGTGTTACACAGACATTCGGCGCTTCACAGACGTCCGGCGCTTCACAGACGCCCGGCGCTTCACTGACACCAAACGCAGCTCAAGTTTTGGATGTCTTGAAGAATTTATTGATTAACACCGGTCAAGTTACCGGAGATTCCTCATCGTCGACAGGTACGACTCGTATTCCATCATCAACGAACGCTACCACACACGATGTGGAGGCACCTGTTTATGAGCCAGCGCATGAGAGCGGCGAATCAGATCACTCGTCAGCCAACTCTGAAGCGTCCGATTCTGAACCAGGTATTTTGTCACCGAGAGATACAATTGCTTGGATTTACAGTAT